AAATGCAGGCTCACAGGCTCACTCAGACTCAGCATCAGAAGCTCAGGGGTTGTGACCCTGAAACCGTTGTAGCAATTCCCAGCGGGCTCTGCGCCCACTTTTGTGGGGAACCGTAGCTTCAGCCTTTCATTAGTTTATATCCACCCGAGTCTCCCCAGTGACCTGCACAGTGCTCACTGCAGTGCCCTTAAACACTCACATTATGAAAGTATTTTTAGGAAACTGTAAATATATTGTACTCTTATTTTCCCTCAATTTCTGTGTGGATATCTTAAGTACGTATCTTCTTCTTTAGCCATGCGATATTCCTCAAAGCATGTCAATACTTGACTTACTCTCGAAGAACCTGGCTACTCTGCTCATTTCCTAAGGGCCTAAAATCACAATTCATAAATCATGATGTTTACAAACCACATTTGGCTGCCAAATAATATGTTTATTATGAGTTTCTTGGGTTTATAAATTCACTTTGATTTTATATCATCTACATTTATTTTACTAAACTTAAAGAAAAATGTTCAGAAAAATCGTCATTTATTTTTTACTTTTAAAAAAGTTTTAAAATTTTTATTGAATTTATTGGGGTGCCATTAATGGTGCTGGTATAATTGGAAAAACACAACAACAACAAAAAAATGAAATTGGTTATACCTTGTTATACCTTACGCACCTTGTTATACCTTACGCAAGAATAATCTCAAAATGGATTAAAGACGTAAATGCAAGATTCAAAAACCATAAAAATCCTAGAAGAAATAACATGGGCAGTAAAATCTTAGACATTTCTCATAGTAATATTTATTTTCTGATCTATCTCCTCAGGCAAGCAAAACAAAAGAAAAAAAATTAAACAAATAGGACTACATCAAACTAAAAAGTTTTGCACAGCATAATCATCATTTTCGTTGGCCTAAAAATGTCTATGAACCTTTGAGAGAGGATGGAAAAGAAACTTAAGATATAAAAGCTTTCCGCTTACCAAAAAAATTGCTTTATCTTCTTTTTTCAATCTTGTCTGTAAATTTGTGAAGTTTTCCGTCTCAATTGCGTCTAAATGATCACTGCATTAGAGATCCCTTTTTTTCTCTTTATTCAGATCTCTCCTGTGGCAGTCCTCCCACAGTGCAAAATGCCTTCATACTAAACCAGAAGCCTAGGTATCGACATGGGGACACAGCACGTTATGAATGCAGACAGCCTTTGGGCCTCTTCGGGAAAGCAGTGGTGACATGCTTAAGTGGGAATTGGACAGCCCCACCTGAGTGCAAGGGTAGGTGTCTCGTTCTCCCCTCCCAGTCTCTGTGCAGCTTCTGTAAGCACTTGGTCACTAGACTCCTGTCCCTCTGGTCTTCATTGGTTACTCAGGTTGGTTGCTCTATCATTTCCAGTAAATCACTTTGGGGCCGGGAGGAGGTGAGTGTAGCTCCCACCTACTCTGCAGCTCCCTTAGAATCAAAAGTATATGATTTTCTATGGTTCTCTTTCCCCACTTTGTGGGCATAAGAGAAAAATATAAACATGGCTTAACCCAGAAAAATGTAACTAAACGGGGAGCATTTGTAGCCACTGCCCGTTGAGTAGGAAATGGACAAGGAAGAGCCATGGCCACCGTGGAGCAGGCTCCCATGTCCACTGGACAGGAAGTCACCTTGTGGGTGCCCCACATCCCAGAGACAGAGAGCCAAGGCCCTGGGGTCACACTGCCGGGTCCACACCCATCGTCTGCCTGGTGAACGCTGTGACCTTGGACAGGTGTGCCTGACCTTCCGTCCCCTCAGCTTCCTGGTGTGTGAGGAGGAGCAGCTGCCTGCTGAGGGGCTGTGAGGGCCCACAGACCGGGGCTGAGAACAGGACTCGACCCACATTGATGACGTACATGAGCTCTTTCCATTACTTCATCCTCTAAGCTAGTCATTGGGTTGAAGGTTTATTTGTTTATAAAAGGAAAGGTTACTAATTGCTTTTATTCATTTTTTTCAATTTCAGATGCATGTGTAATATCAGAAGAAATCATGAAAGAACATAACATAGAGTTGAGATATTCAGATGCGAAAAAGGTTTATTCTAGATCAAATGATTTCGTTGAATTTACGTGCCGGAAAGGTTACCTTACTAAAGTGTCACCAGCATCTGCATTCCGAGTACAATGTCGAGAAGGAAAAATGCAGTATCCCACTTGTGCATAAAATGAGAGCTATGTGGCAGTTTTCACATTAAAATATGTGCCTCATTCAGAATTTGTTAATACTAATCTAATTCTTCTCAATTTATTTTTCTATTAGGGTGTAACTCACTTGTAGTCATTAATCGGAATTCCTGTTAAATGCCCTTGTAATCTGAGACCAACGGACCACTTCTCATAAGCATCTCATTAAAATGTGACAAAACAACATGCTACGTGTTCTGTTCATGAAAGGTCATTGGCCAGAAAGTAGATGCCATCTCTTCCCTCCCTGCTTCCCCGCCACTCTCCCTACTTTCTCAGCTTCTCCACAGATGAAGGGGCGTTTTGAGACTCTAATTTCAGAGGAAAGGATAAAAAATGCTTGTCTCCATCTTCACCTTAAAACCACTTATCAAACACGTCAAAACCAAACTATTTCACACTCATGTTGGCAACAGATGGTAGAGGTTATCACTTAGTTTTGCTTATCTATCCATGGCTCACTATATCCGCAAAATGATGAAATGCAACATCTACCTATCCATGTAGCACATACAATCATTCAGACAGGTCATAAGGAGGTATTAGATTCTAATCAGGGGCCTAGCTATTGTAACACGGACTTGAAAACTGATATAATATAGAGTATAAACATGTGTTGGGAAGGGGCAGTGAAGTTCCCCAGATGTGAATGAAGAAGCCCTGTGGCCCCAGATATGTGGCCAGTCCCACCTACTGCTCTTTGCTCAAAGCTTCCAGTCTTCTGGCATTTCCTGCTCTTTCCCACTATATTTCAAAGGACATAAAAGCAATACGTTAGCTTCCTTTTCAACTTAATCTTCTCCCAAAGTTGTTAAGGCAACAATATCATCACTTACACTTTTACCAAGACAATAATTCTTCACCATCATGGGATTAGACTACTTGCCAATAGAGCAATAAACAGCAAGGGAGGTAACGGTGTGGCTTTCTGCCTATTGAATCGGATGTTTAACCGGTCACACAAAACACATGAGCTTAGAATATACTGTAGGAAATAGTACCATCAAAAATTATATGTTAAAATTGTCCCTGTGGTTCAGTGGTCAGAGTTTTGGTCCAAGGACCAGAGGGTCTGCGGGTCAAGTCCTGCTCAAGGGCATGTGTCTGGGTTGCAGGTTCGATCCCTGTCCCAGTCGGGGGTGAACAGGACACAAGCAATTGATGTGTCTCTCTCACATTGATGCTTCTCTCTCTCTTTATCTCTCTCTCCTCCTTCTTCTTAAATCATGAAAAAAAAAATTGAATGCCAACAATGTGCTGAAATTCTTGGACTTTGTGGTGTTGTCTAGGGTGAATTCACACAAAAATCAGTGCTTTCCTACAGACAGGAATGTACGCTGTGTCCATAGACCCCTAAGGACTGCACTCGGGTGAGAGACCGTCACAGGGACATGCAGGCAGAGCTATTCCCATGTGAATCTCCTGGTTGAGGGAGAACCTCACCGATTCTCAAGAAGAGTTTAAAGATTAGAGTTTCATATCACTCTTGGATCCAGTTTTCAACTTATCTAAGGCAAGTGGCACAGATATATATCATGGAAGTAACTCAAGAAATGATTGTGAAATCCTTCATGTAAATACACAGATATTGAAAATGTCTTTGTACTTTGATATCT